TGGGTGAGGATGGGAGGAGTGGAGATGAGGGAGGTGAAGATGAGGGAGGGGAGGAGTGGGTGAGGATGGAGGCAGGGGTGGGGGATGGGGGGTAGAGATTGGAGGGAGGAGTGAGGAGGGAGGGTGAGGATGAGGAAGTGGGTGAGGATGAGGTGAGGGGATGATGAGGATGAGGGAGGGGGTGAGGATGAGGGAGGGGTGAGGATGGGGGTAAGGATGAGGATAAGGGAGGAGGGTGAGGATGAGGAGGGGGATGAGGATGGGGGAGGGGGGTGAGAGAGGGAGTGAGGATGACTGACGGGGGTTAGGCTCCAGGGCTTCTGTTGAGGCCAAGGATGCCCAAATATCTAGGTGGTGGTGGTTGCATACCTGAGGCCCAGGCAGAAGGAAGAGTATACAGCCTGGGCCACCAGGATAAGTCCAGGACCCAGCAGGAGCTGAGGACAGACAGAAGGACCACAGAGGGTGTAAGGGGCTGGGGTGAGGATTGGTGCCCCTGGGCCAGGACGCTCCTCTCTTCTCCCTGCTGGCTCCAGACCAGAGTCCAAGCCCCGGGCAGTGCCACCCTTACTCAGCCCAGCCCTGAAGACAGAATGAGAAGGGCTTCCTATCTCCAGATCCTGCTCCTTCTGGTGCTGGGTGAGTGGGGACACGGACTGGGGGGTAAGGGCTGCAGACACCTTGGCTCCCAGTTCTCCCATCTCACTGCTCCCTGGGCCGGGCTCCCTGGAGCATTCTTGGGCTTTCTAATCTTGATTCCTAGGGCTCAATCCTCTCTGCCACTGACCTTGACCTCACCACACCACGATGTGCTTGTCGGTGTCATGCTCATACTCCCTTCCCCCCTGCACCTTCACAGTGCTCTGGGAAGGGTTAAATAAGATAATAGACGGCATGAAAGCCTGGCACAAGGTCAGGGCAACATTATGTTTCACCCTCCTTCCTCATCTCTGGCCTCCCCTCCAACCCCGTTATTTGACACCAAATCTATAATCTGGTCCCTTCCCTGCTTCCTCCTCCAGGAGCTGCTGGGACTCAGGGAAGGAAGTCTGCAAGTGAGAAAGCCTCGAAGTCCACCCGAGTCAGCCCCATCCTGGACCTCGGCCCCGTGTCTCCCCTCACACACCAGCCTCCCAGGCCCCAGGTCCTCAGCCAACCCTCACCGCCCCTGCTCCTTTTGTAGCCTGCGGGCAGCCCCGCGTGTCCAGTCGGATCGTAGGGGGCCGGGATGCACGGGACGGAGAGTGGCCATGGCAGGCGAGCATCCAGCATCGTGGGGCACACGTGTGCGGGAGGTCGCTCATCGCCCCCCAGTGGGTGCTGACAGCAGCGCACTGCTTCCCCAGGTCTGCGCTCACCGAGGGCCCAGGCGGGGTGTGCAAGGCAGGCAAGGCCCGCGGAGGACCGGGCGTGGCCTGGCAGAGGCGTTGGGGTCGAGGTGGGCTGGAGGGGGTCGAGGACCAGGTGCTGGAAGTAGCCTCCCGCTCCTGTCTTACAGGAGGGCACTGCCAGTTGAGTACCGCGTGCGCCTGGGGGCGCTGCACCTGGGCCCCACCTCGCCCTGCACGCTCTCGGTGCCCTTGCGACAGGTGCTGCTGCTCCCGGACTACTCCGAGGACGGGGCCCGCGGTGACCTGGCACTGCTGCAGCTGCGTCGCCCGGTGCCCCTGAGCGCTCGCGTCCAGCCCGTCTGCCTGCCCGTGCCCGGCGACCGCCCGCCGCCCGGCACACCATGCTAGGTCACTGGCTGGGGCAGCCTCCGCCCAGGAGGTAAGGTAGGAGGGCGGGGCTCCGAGGCATCGGGGAGCCCCTATCTCCTTCTCCAACTGACCGGAAATCCCAGTCCCTCACTGCCCCAATCCAGGACCCAGCGCGGCTTCTCGGGAACCAAATCTCCTCTCTCTCAGAACTCAGCTTCTCCCACTGACCCCGGCTCCACGCCTTCCTTTCAGAGGTTCCTCCTCTTCCCCCAGTGCCCCTCCCAGAGTGGCGGCCGCTACAGGGAGTAAGAGTACCGCTGCTGGACTCGCCCACCTGCGACCGCCTCTACCACGTGGGCGCGGAGGTGCCCCTGGCAAAGCCCATTGTGCTGCCTGGGAGCCTGTGTGCCGGCTACCCCCAGGGCCACAAGGACGCCTGCCAGGTGTGCACCCCACCTCCCCAGCCTCCAGAGTCCCATCCCTGTGCCTAGCACCCTGCCTCCCTAAACTCCAGGACCCAGGACCTACCAACGAAGGCTCAGGGTCCTGGCCCCCAACCCAGAGGCACCACCCCAGGGGTTTGGAACCCTGAGAACTGTTCTGAGGTCCTGGGAGGGCTGAGACCTAGGCTCCTCTTTCTCCTGCAGGGTGATTCTGGGGGACCCCTGACCTGCCTGCAGTCTGGGAGCTGGGTCCTGGTGGGCGTGGTGAGCTGGGGCAAGGGTTGTGCCCTGCCCAACAGTCCAGGTGTCTACACCAACATGGCCACATATAGCCCCTGGATTCAGGCTCACGTAAGCTTCTAATACTAGCCAGTGAGGCTGACCTGGAGCCAGCTGCTGGGGTCCCTCAGTCTCCTGGTTCATCCGGGGACCTGCCCATACCCCACATCTCTTCTGCCTTGAGGCCAAGATGCCTAATAAAGCTAAAGGCCACCCCCAACCCCTACTCCCCACCTCCTGCCTCCTCTCCTCTTTGGGGCTCACCAGATCTGACTCCACCAACCCTCATCCAGGGATCTGCCATGAGTCCCAGGGGGTGACACTCCCCGCTCCCTTCCTGGCTTGTATTTACTTTTCTCGGCCCTGGTCAGGGATGGGTGCAAGGCACGCAGCGGTGGGCAGGCCAGCTGCTGCCCATCTGGCCTGTGTGCCCATCTTTTTCTGGAGAAAGTCAGATTCACAGCATGACAGAGATTTCACACCAGGGAGATCCTCCATAGCTGGCTTTGAGGACACGGGGACCACAGCCCATGAGCAGCCTCTAGGAGCAGAGAGCAGCCACTGCGGACAGCCGGCAGGGAATCGGAACCCTGAGACCCACAGCCGCAAGGCACTGGATTCTGGCAGCACCCTGAAGGAGCTGGGAAGTAAGTTCTTCACCAGCCTCCAGGTAAGAGCCCCGCCGGCCAATCCCTTCATTTCAACCTAAAAAGACCCTAAGCAGAGAACCTAGCTGAGCCACCCGGACTCCTGACCTACAAAGCTGTGACTTAATAAATGTGTGTTTTAAGCTGCTCCATTTGTGCTGACATTTATACAGCAATAAAAACTAATACAGATTTTGCTCCACTGTGATGGAGGTGTCCCAGTGGGAAAGGTGGGCTGGCCAACGTGGCCACCTCCCCACGTACTCCAAGAGGCTGGGCACTTGGCATCAGATGTTCAGCCAAGGAGGGGTCAGGAGCCCTGGGGCAGGCCCAGATTCTGTTCTCATTGTTTCTGGCCACCATTCACTCCCAGAGTGAGCCTGGGGCCCAGGTCACCCTACTGACACCTGCATCTGGACGCCAACAGCCTTGCCCACCCTTGGGGTCCCCTTCCAGCCTGGTACCTGGCATCCTGTCCCCTCTCTGCCATATCCTTGTCTCCAGAGCCAGGACCACCCATTTCAATATATAGAGGTCAGTTTCCACAGCTGAAGAAGGAAAAGAAACAAAACCTGGAAAACTGAAAACCTACTCTGCAGCTGACAGCAGCTGTCGGCAGAAGAGAAGGGAAGACAAGGGAAGGTAAACTTCAAAGGCGCAGCCCCTTTAGGTCCAGGCACAGGCCTGAGCCATTGCTTCCCTCTCCTTTTCTCCTGGGGAGCTGGGGAAGTGGGCTGTACTAGATGGTCACGGGTAGGCTGGGCCAAGTGGGGCAGGAAGGGTGCTCAAGGCTGCTCTGTCCCCCAGGTGGAGAACACACCACACTGTAGTACATATTGGCCACCGTTGGTGGGGTCATCAGGGACCAGGTGCCCAGGACGTCAGGGCATGGCTGTGGCAGGCCAGCCTGCAGGCCCAGTTAAGGAGGCAGAAGGGAGTGGAGCTGGGCAGGGAAGGGAGGATCATTAATGAGAAAAAATCACGGCCCCTCGTCAAGCCCTCACGACATCATGCAGAGGGAGGGCTTTATTCCATCAGCTCATTGAATCCCACAGAAGGCTCTGTGAGGTGGCTTGTCCCCATTTGTCAGATGAGAAAAACAAGTCCCAAAAATCACACTGCCGGCAAGGTTGGTAGACTGGGACTGCAGCCCAGGCGGTCTGATTCTGGGAAAAGCAGAGGTCCTCCACTCTCTCCACTCCCTCCTACTCCAACAGGACAGCCTCCCCACACCCCTCCTTCCGGCCTGCTCCTGGCACAACAGCCTGCGGTGCCAGACGGGCGGCAGCTCTTGTCAGCCCCGTGCCACTGACGCCACAGGATGGGGCCCGTGTCCCCCTCTGTAATCTGAACTGATAACACCTGCTCTCCCATGGCTGTTAGCGGTCCAGATGTCGGCCAAGGCGGTCACTGTTATGCCTGCTGAGTGTGTGCGCTGTGCCAGGTATGTGCATGCTCTCAGCAGACCTGAAAGCCCTCGAAGGAGACATCATCTCACAGAAGGGAAACAGGTCCAGACAGGTTAGGTAACATGGCCACGGGCCCACAGCTGGTAAGTAGTGGAGCCACATTTGAACTCAAATCCCACACTAACAGTTATGTTATATCCCTTTTGGGGACAAAAGTACCTATAAAACACTCTACAAATAAGGCACATTGCTAACTAGTGGTCATGAATAACTACCACGTATTAACACAAAAACAAGGAAAGTAGGCCAGGCACAGTGGTTCATGCTTGTAATCCCAGTGTTTTGGTAGACCAAGGCAGGATGATTGCTTGAGGCCAGAAATTGAGACCAGCCTGGGCAATACAGTGAAACCCCCAACTCTACAAAAAATTAAATTAGCCAGGCATGGTAGCCCATGCCTGTAGTCTCAGTTACTCGGGAGGGTGAGGTGGGATCGCCTGAACCCAGGATTTCAAGGCTGCTGTAACCATCACGCCACTGCACTCCAGCCTGGGCTACAGAGCAAGATCTGTGTGTAGGGAAAATCTCTCTCAAATCATGTTTTTCCTCTATTCCTGTTGCCAGAAAAGAAGGTCCCGATCCAGACCCCAAGAGAGGGTTCCAAGAGAGGGTTCTTGGATCTCACGCGGGAAGGAATTCAAGGTGAGCCACAGAGCACAGGGAGAGAAGCAAGTAGATTAGAAAGGACTCCATCACAGAGCAGGCGTGCTCAGAGAGCAGGGGGAAGAACTCACCATCTTTGGTTAGTGTCTCTGCTTATAAGAAACTACAGGCCGGGCACGGTGGCTCACGCCTGTAATCCCAACACTTTGGGAAGCCGAGGAGGAGGGGATCACCTGAGGTCAGGAGTTCGAGACCTGCCTGGTTAACATGGTAAAATCCCGTTTCTACTAGAAATATAAAAATTAGCCAAGTGTGGTGGCACACACCTGTAATTCCAGCTACTCAGGAGGCTTGAGGCAGGAGAATCACTTGAACTCGGGAGGCAGAGGTTGCAGTGAGCCGAGATCACGCCATTGCACTCCAGCCTGGGCAACAGAGTGAGACTTTGTCTCAAAAAAAAAAAAAAGAGAGAGACAAACTACAAGCAGTGGTAAATAAACCTGGAATGTGCAGATGTGCTCACTGAAGGTCGGGGCTTTTGGTGCCATCGGTGACTGTGCATCCTCTGCCTTAGCCTGCTTACTGACACTATCTTAGCAGAGCGGGTTGCATTCTCAGGACGTGTGCACATTCTAGGGCCTTGTGGGAGATGTCCTGTACGGCCATAAACATTTCGTAATCATAATTGGTGGCCAGCTTAAGAGGTGATCATTTTAGGCCGGATGTGGTGGTTCCCGCCGGTAGTCCCAGCACTTTGGGAGGCTGAGGCATGAGGATTGCTTGAGCTCAGTTTGACACCAGACTGGGCAACATGGCAAAACCCCATCCCTACAAAAACTGCAAAAATTAGCCGGATGTGGTGGTGCATGCCTGTAGTCCCAGCTACTCCAGGGGCTGAGGTGTGAGGATTATTTCAGCCAATATCAGGTTACTGCACTCCAGTCTGGGTGACAGAGGGAGACCCTGTCTCAAACACAAAAAGAATGTGGCTATTTTCAGACAGCAGGAGCCTTATAGATGCCTTGTGAGTGCTTAGCTACACATTTTAAGATGGATCACTCTAGTTGTTTTATTAAACTAGAGGCCTGGTAAGCAGAGGTCCCCAACACTCTCATACCAAAACCACAATTATCAACACAGAAGACTCCTGTGACAAACAGTTGTGGGGTTCCCCCCACACACACTAAGCACTGGACACCAGCAGGGTGTCCTCAATTCAATTCCAACACTATCTGCCCAGCGCCAGCCTCAGGTCCCACAGGTTGGGGCTCACAGGACTGCCTCCCCATTCCCCAGCTGCAAGTTTGGGCTCCGGAACTTTCGACCGACTGGCTTCAGGTTGGCGTTCCCATGACTCTCCTCTTTGGGTTCAATTAATTTGTTAGAGCGACTCAGAGAACTCAGGGAAAAACATTCACTGGTTTATCATAAAGGATGTTACAAAGCATCAAGATGAAGCAAAGTGCAGGTTGAGGTGCTGGGGAGGGGCCCGGAGCTCCCATTCATCCCTGTGGTGTCACCCTCTGGGGACCACACGAGTTGAGCTATGGAGAAACGCTCCAAACTCTGTCCTGTAGGGTTTTGTCAGCATTCCTTTCCCAGGGAATAGGGCGGGGCCCTCTCTGGGGAGAGTCTTAAGACTCCCAATCAGAAAGACCCAGGAAAGATTCGAGTCCTGCTTTGGGGCATGTGAAAGACGACAGATTGTTTCCCTGGTCTAACACACCTGAAAGACACAAGGGCCTTCCCCATCATAACACAACACCCTGTCTGCGGTGGGGAGTGAAGGAGATAGAAGGCAGACGGACGCTGGGCATGGTGGCTCACGCCTGTAATCCCAGCATTTTGGGAGGCTGAGGCAGGAGGATCACAAGCTCAGGGGTTTGAGACTAGTCAACATGGTGAAACCCCGTCACTACAAAATATACAAAAAAATTAGCCGGGCATGGTGGTGCATGCCTGTAATCCCAGCTACTCAGGATGCTGAGGCAGGAGACTCCGGGAGGCGAGGACTGCAGTGACCCACGATCACACCATTGCACTCCAGCCTGGGCGACAGGGCAAGACTCCGTCTCAAAAAAACACAAAAGGTAGATGGGAGGGAGCAGAAGACAGGCTGCAAGGCGGATTCTCAGAGTGAAGTCTGTGAGGCGGAGAGGTGAAGGCCAGTTGAGGAAAGGGGCCTAGGAGGACACTCCTGTGTGGAGCAGTAGGCGCAGCCAGCCAGCTCCTCTCCACCACTGGACGCTCCCATTCCTTGTAAAGGCCCTTAAGGAAGGAGAACCTGGACTCCACAAGACCACACTTCCAAAAGTGGAGACCCCAGGCTAGGCCAGTGAGTGGCTCTGCTCCCGGAAAATCCCTCCTGACCCCATTCCCACCGCAGGAGGTATCACTGCACTGAATGACACGACGGCCTGCCATCTCTTCATGTAGTTAGCAGACAGGGAGGACAGCGTCGTGGGGTGTGCGTAGACCCCCTCTGGGGGCAAGGACTCATGCTGGATCCAGGTGATCTCTGACAGCAGACAGGCACCATTCACCGCGCCAGCTGGGGAACTGTGCCACTGCTCACTGAGGATCAGCAAATGAATGCAATTGTTGTTATACTTATGAGCTGATGCGCGGCGAGTACAGGCACACTCCCCAACGTCCTAAGGGCTCCACACTGTGTATTCCCACTTCACGGATGGGAACAACCAGGTGGAGGCCCTGGGCTTTGCCAGTAGGAGCTGGGGTTTGAACCTAGTGTTCTGATCTCTGGAGGACAGGCACCATCCTTAAGAGGATGGTGACTCCAAGGCACCCCTGGTTTCTGGTGGACATCCTGAGCTGGGGCATCAGCTGTGACGGCCCCCACAGGTAAGGTGTCCACCCCTGGTCTCTGCCGATGAAGCCTGGATGGAGTAGGGATCCAGGCATCTCCCTGTGGAGATGGCCCCTCCTGTACCTACACCCTTTGACTTCTGGGTGGGCTGCTGCGCTACCTGAGAACTTCCTGGCCCCCACTGTCCACACCCTTCCTTCACTCTCCCTCCACAGAGGTACAGGATTTAAAGTTGCCAGTTCTATGTACATAAAGACACTGGGATTAACTGGAGACAGCATCTCACTCTGTGGCCAGGCTGGTGTGCAGTGGCGCGATCTCAGCTCACTGCAACCTGCGCCTCCGGGTTCAAGCAACCCTCCTGCCTCAGCCTCCCGAGTAGCTGGGACCACAGGCGTGCGCCACCATACCCACCTAATTGTGTTTGTATTTTAGTGCAGACGGGGTTTCACCTTGTTGGCCAAGCTGGTCTTCAACTTCTGGGCTCAAGTGATCCACCTCCTTCAGCTTCCCAAAGTGCTGGGATTACAGGCGTGAGCCACCACGCCCAGCCAGACACTGGGACTAAGAAATACATCTTTTTTTTTGAGACGGAGTCTCGCTCCATCGCCCAGGCTGGAGTGCAGTGGCGCAATCTCGGCTCACTGCAAGCTCCGCCTCCCGGGTTCACGCCATTCTCCTGCCTCAGCCTCCAGAGTAGCTGGGACTACAGGCGCCCGCCATCACGCCCGGCTAATTTTTTGAATTTTTAGTAGAGACGGGGTTTCATCGTGTTAGCCAGGATGGTCTCGATCTCCTGACCTCGTGATCCACCCGCCTCGGCCTCCCAAAGAGCTGGATTACAGGCATGAGCCACTGCGCCCGGCCAAAATAAATCTTTTTAGCCTGGCCAAGAGCTCTTCCCAACAATTACCTGTCCAATGCCTCACGACACAAGTCATGGAGCAAGACAGGTTCTGCAGGGACTGGGATGCTGAGGACCCTGGGAGCAGGGGTAGGGGCTGCAGTGAAGTAAGTCACAGGAGGGAAGGGACACAAGTCAAAAGTAACAATAACTAGAATTACAGCTTAGAAAACACAAATGCAGCTCTAAGACTTGCCGGGATTCTACGCAGCGGCACCCCCCACGTTCCGCCCACTCTCAACAGCCGTCAAAGCGCAGCTCGGACTGCAGGGCGGTTTGGCGTCCAGGGTCACTCTCTGGCTCCTCTCTCGAACGCCGCCTCCGACACCCGCCCAGCACGACCCAGCCTGGGGTGTCTCTCTGCAAGGGAGAGGTCAAGTGGGGGACCCTCGGTCTCATGTAAATGCAACTTGGGGCGATGCAGGATAGTGTCCAGCATTCAGGAAAGGGGGCCTTGGTGGAAAGAGCGGCCAGCCAGGAAAATCACGTCTCTAGGCCTTTTCAGAGCCAAAATGCAGCCAAGCGGGAAGGCGGACAGGCGCCCAGGACCCCTGGGGCAAGGAGCTGCCCCTTCCCTCCTCCTGGGGAAAGCAGTAGCCAACCGCTCCCGTGCCTCCTAGCCCAAGGAGTTCGCCCGGGCCACCCCTAAGCCCAACAGCAGCCCCCAGGGCTTCTCACAGGTCATAAGCCCCTCTGAGCCGCGACAGTCCTCGCATCCAGGTCGGGGCAGGGAGCGGGGGCGACTGTCCCCAACACGGCGGCCAGAAAGCCCAAAATGCGGAGCCTGCCCAAGATGGCGGTCACGACTATCCCGCGACAACGCGGCCCCGGGCTCGCTGTGCCCGAGCCTGGAGCCTGCCGAACCGCACTAACACGGGGACCTCGCCTCTGCCACTCCCGAGAGGGCGCCACCGCCTCCGACGGCCATCCCTGGGGTGGAGATGGCGTCCGCACGCCCGTCGGCACCGCCGCTTCCAGATCACTTAAAATGGCGGCGGCTGCGGGGTGACACGGGGCGGGGCGACACGGGGCGGGGCAGCGCCGGGGAAGGCGGGGCGGCGCGGGGCATGCCGGGCCACGCGCGGGCTGCCGGGAACGGGGCGGAGCGCGGCCGCGCCGGCGCATTGAGGGGAGAGGCAGCCGCCGCGATGGTGAGCGGGCGTGGGGGAGGGGCGGCCGGGCCGGGCCGGGGGCGCCGGGGGGCGGCTGGGCCGCGCGGGGGGCCCGGGCCTCTTGCTCACGCCGGCCCGCCGCCCCCAGGACGTGTTCCTCATGATCCGGCGCCACAAGACCACCATCTTCACGGACGCCAAGGAGTCCAGCACGGTATTCGAGCTGAAGCGCATCGTCGAGGGCATCCTCAAGCGGCCTCCTGACGAGCAGCGGCTGTACAAGGTGGGTCCCGCGGGCGGGCCGAGGGGAGCGGGTACCCGGCGACGGGCACGGGGCTGACGCCGACGCTGTCTGCGATGTAAACAGTGGCGGCCGGCGACGCCTGCGGGCGCCCGAGGTGCGGGCTGGGACATCCGTTGTGCGGGTGAAGCGCGAGCTGCGCTCGCCGCGGGGATCTCTGGTCCAGGGGCGATGTTTAGACCTCGTGCTGGGCCCCGGGCGCCGAGGACACCGTGGCATCCAACCCCTGCAACGGTATCGCCCGCGCCGTGCAGTTGACGAAATTGAGGTTCGGCTTGGTCTCTTAACCAGCCAAAGGTCATTGGCAGCGCCAGGGTTCGAACCACGACCCCTTAATTCCCAGCTTTCTTCGCAGGCCCATCGGAATCACGCTGTCCCCCGGGACACTCCTTGGGGTGGAGGGTGGCGGACTCAGTTAATGCAAAGAAAGTGTGGTCCCACTCGTTCTTCACCAAGCAACCGTTATTACCTCCCTACCTCCTGCTGATGTTCTAGAAGACCCCCTTTCCCCTTGCAAGCGAACTGAGATTATTCAGTTAGAATGGCTTGGGGTTTGGGGTCTGCATTGGGGAATCAGATGCATCAGCCTCCGGTTTACGTGTCCCAGCATTGTGAGGTTGTCGCCTAAGTGCATTGATCAGATTCTAGAGCTGGAAACTGGGAAACTGACTTTTAGCTCCAGGCTCAAAGCCTCAGCTCTCATGGTCTCTAAAGGGCTTTCCTCGCTGATAACTGCTGGCACTTAGCGAATATTAAATGGCCGTGCCTGTGCATGTCCCATGTGCCACATATCTACTTAGTGCTTTGTGTTCCTTCCTAGCTCATTGAAACCCTCTGGTGGCCCTATGAATTGAAAGTCTGGTAATTCCTAGTTTACCGATGAGGAAACTTTGCATCAAAAGGCTCAACTACTAGCCAGCAGCGGTGGCATGGTCTTGTAGTCCCAGCTACTCTGAAGGGTGAGGCAGAATTGCTTGAGCCCAGGAGTTCCAAGCTGGAGGGTGCTATGATAGCGCTTATGTAGGGTCTGTGCCACTACACACCTGGGCAACATGGCGAGACCCTGTCTCTAAAATAAAAAAATGTTCGAATGACTTGTCCAAGGTGGCAGAGCTGGGATTGAAACCCAGGTCTGCCTATCTCCAGATTAGCTTGGCTCCTCAAATTAGATTTGCCTGGAGAATTTGGAAAAAAACAGATTCTAAACCCTACCCTGGGAGGTTCTGACTTAGTTGTTCTTGGATATAACCCTGGAATCTGTGTATTTGACAAGCAGAGTGGTGGTCCTGGGCCACACTGAGGGAACTCTCTTCCTCCTCTGACTTCCTGTGTAGTTGCTGGTCAGAGATCTTTGGGACTTGCCCCACATGGGGCCTCTCCCAAGATCCTGCTTCTCTCCTCAGGATGACCAACTCTTGGATGATGGCAAGACCCTGGGCGAGTGTGGCTTCACCAGTCAAACAGCACGGCCACAGGCCCCAGCCACAGTGGGGCTGGCCTTCCGGGCAGGTGAGAGGGGACTGGGCTGGGTGGCAGCCAAGCAGGTTGGGGACACCGTTCCAAAGAGGGTCATCAGGGAACCTGGAGTTGAAACCTTCAGGGCAGTGTCTTCCTCGTGCCTAAAGAGCTGGCAATATCCTTTTACAATGTGTTTGTTTCCTCATCTTTTTTTTTTTTTTTTTTTAAAGAAGCAACCAAATGAGATGCTTACAGAAACCGAAGCTTATTTCCCGAAGCTAGCTCACATTTACAGGCGCTGAGTGCCTGGCTCTGTGCTCTGTGTGTTACTCTGTGTGTGGCTTCCACTGCCCTGTCTCATCCTCTCAGTAGCCCCGGGAGGTCCACATACCATCATCCCTGTTCTGCAGATGAGGACACCGGCTTACTGGCAGTCACACAGGGAGCCATGGTTAGGATGCTGGCTGCCGGGCCCTTGCTGGAGTCAGACATCATGCCAAGTTCTATGCTGTGTATCACTGAATCCCTCCGCATCTCTGTGTGGTTGAGATTTGGATTTTGCCTGTTTTCAGGTTCAGTGAAGTGAGCCCTGGGAGGTTAGGTCACCTGCTGGGACTGCCACGTCTAGGATTGAGATCCAGAGCCTGTGCTTCCATCAGCCATACCCCACCCCTGCCCAAGCTTTAGAAACCTGGGGATTAGGGAGTGGTTTACTACTCGCCAGGGTATCTTCTTCCATCCAAGAGAAAGGGAGGGAGGATTTTAAATGTTTTGTCTCTGGGAACTTGAACAGAGGTTATAGAGCTGTGTTTTCACAGCCGTGGACCCAGCAGCTGTGTGGATGGCTGAGAAAACTTTATTCAAGTTATAAAGAATTATTAATATTTTTCTGCCTGTAAGGAAACATAGCAGAGGCTGAAGAGGAAGAGTATAGTCCTAGCTCCACCTTTCCGTTCCATAAGTTCAGGCTAGGCCTCAGTCTCAGCATCTATATCCTCTAGCCAGCGACCTTGCCCTCCTGGCCCTCCTGGCCCCGGTTTTCCCTTCTCCTTAAACGGGTGTGATGAGACTGGCTTCACAGCAAGGTGGTGTGAGTCCTCATGCACCCCAGGTCTGGCCTGCTGCCAGTGCCCAACAGATAGGAAGCTTCAGAGCCTTTCTGTGGGCTCTTTCTGCCCAGATGGTGATGTTAAGAGTTAGGTGCAGGGCTGGCACAGACATACAGGTCGTGCCCTGTACATGGGTGCATTTTGTTGTTGTTGTTGTTTCTGAGACAGAGTCTCACTCTGTTGGCTAGGCTGGAGTGCAGTGGTGCCATCCCAGCCCACTGCAGCCTTCACCTCCCGGGTTCAAGAGATTCTCCTGCCTCAGTGGCCTGAGTAGCTGGAATTACAGGCATGCACCACCACGCCCAGCTAATCTTTGTATTTTTAGTAGAAATGGGGTTTCACCTTGTTAAGTCAGCCTGGTCTCAAACTCCTGGGATTACAGGCTTGAGCCTTGGCTCCTGGCCCAGGGGTGCCTTTCTGAAGAGAGCAAGTGAGTGCCAAGAGCATATCTGGTCTGCTTCCCCCAGAAGTGTCACTTTCTCTAATTTGAACAGTGGTACGCTAGAGGTTTGCTGTGACTTGGAAGATATTGATAGACCCATTTTGCAGGTGAGAAAATCAAGGCTAAGGAGGGTGACTTGTTTTTCTCCCACAGCCCCTAGTATGGCATGGAATGTGGTGGTGACTCTGGAGCCCAGGTCACATCAGCCCTCTTGCAGGTGAGGGCTATCTTGATAGGTGCACAGCATGGGCTGTGAGCTCTTTGCTTCCCCATGGACTGCTTGCAGAAACACACTTCCTGGGTGCAACTCAACCCATCACCATGTTGTTCCCAGGCCTTGAATGGGTGCCCCGCCCTCCGCCTCTCCCCTCCCCCAAGCTTACCACTCAAGAAGATAAGACAGTGTTTCAAATCACATGTTAAAGAGCATTGTCCAGGCTCATCACGAAAGAATGAGGGAGGTAGTGAAGGCACGAATGGTCACAGGTTTGTGGCTTGGAAGATGCATTAGATTAAGCTGCGTCAGTTTCTGAACCTTGGCACAGTGGGCACATTGGGCTGGATTACTGTGTGGGTTGCCTTGTGCACCATAGCATGTGGAGCCGTATCCCAGGCCTCTACCCACTAGACAGCGTTGGAACACCCCACCTGCCCAATTGTGACAGCCAGAACTGTCATCAGGCATGCCAGCTTTCCCTGGGATGCCTGATCAGTTGAGAACCCTGAGCCAAGCAGAGATGGGTCTCCTAGCTGGAAGAAAGCACAGGAGAAAAGCTGTGGGTTTGTTTGCTGTGTGTTGGGGTGACAGTAGGGACAAGACAGGGAAGGCCTTTGCCTTCCTGGAGCCAGTCAAAAGGGCAATTTGTCCAGTGGTAAGTGCCCCCACGCCCAGGATGTCAGGATGTCTTGACTTTTGGGGGTGGGTGGATTGGAGGTTCATCTGAGGAGGGGACCTGAGTTGGACCCTGAAAGTCCAGAAGCAACCAGCCATTCCGAGTGCTGGGACCAGCAAGTGCGAAGGTCTGAGTTAGGAAAGAACATAAAGAGCCAGAGCCTGAGAGCATGGGAGGCAGAGGGAGAGACAGACAGCAAGGACTTGATGGTATTCAGAGCATGATGGGAAGCCACTGGAAGGTTTTAAGCAGGGGAGGAATGGTCTAGTTGATTTTTTTTTTTTGAAACAGAGTCTTGCTGTGTTGCCCAGGTTGGAATGCAGTGGCTGATCTCGGCTCACTGCGAGCTCCGCCTCCAGGGTTCACATTCTCCTGCCTCAGCCTCCTGAGTAGCTGGGACTATAGGCACCTGCCACCACACCCGGCTACTTTTTTTGTATTTTTAGTAGAGACGGGGTTTCACCGTGTTAGCCAGGATGGTCTCGATCTTCTGACCTTGTGATCCGCCCACCTCGGCCTACCCAAGTGCTGGGATTACAGGTGCCTGCCACCATGCCCGGCTAATTTTTTCGTGTTTTTAGTAGAGACGGGGTTTAGTGTTAGCCAGGATGGCCTCGAGCTCCTGACCTTGCGATCTGCCCACCTCAGCCTCCCAAAGTGTGTGAAGGAAACAAGGATATACATTCTGGGTGAAGGGTGATGCTGGCTGCAGGTGGTCAGCCCCCAGACTCACTAGTGGACATGGAAGATGAGGAAAGGGGCCCCAGCATGGTCAGTGGGAAGGGCTGGGGACCTTCAGGTTGGGCCCACAGGGGTAGGAGACATTGCTGTGGGGCCATGGGGCAGCTGAACAGGGAGGTCAGCTCTGTGGAGACCAGCTGTGTGGACGAGTGTTCGCATGGAGATCCCCAAAGCTGCAGATGATCACCCATGAACACCAAGGACCCAGCTGGGGCAAGAATTGGGCTATCCCCTTGCAGCTCTGCTCCTTCCTCCACAGATGACACCTTTGAGGCCCTGTGCATCGAGCCGTTCTCCAGCCCACCTGAGCTGCCCGATGTGATGAAGCCCCAGGACTCGGGAAGCAGTGCCAATGAACAAGCCGTGCAGTGAGGACCCCCAAGAGGCCCATTCCCCCCAATAAAAGAGATTTGGGAGTCTTCCTGGTTGCTGCGTCTTTTTCCCGACCCTCCCTGGGATGGGTCCCACTCCCTGTGGGCTCCTTTTGGGGCTTGTTCTTGGCAGTTCCTGTGCTGTCCTGTCTCCCAGACCCTGGCTGAGAACTTGGCCCAGCCTGCTGCTTAAAAGACACCATGGGTACCTGGGTTGCCTTGAGACCCAAGCCATTGTTAGCAGTTAGCCAGCTACACCAACCACTCCAGGGGAAGGGGAGGACTGGGAGGGACACAAAGACCACAGGAAGCCTCAGGGACAACACATTCCAGTTTTAGGCCTTTTTCCTTCTAAGTGCCCCCCACCCCCACACTCTGCATGTCCACTCCCAGGGGCCTCTTGTCCTGAGGACAATGGCCAAGAGCAGAAATACAAGCTGGAGCCTATGTCCTGGTTTCACAGCACGTTCAATGAGGGAACCCCAAAGCGGACTCACACAGGTCCACCCACACTGGGGGCTGCAATCAGGGAGGGAGGTGGCTGCCCCCTTACCACACCTTTAATAAACAGTCTACAGACCCAGTTCCTGCATTTCTCATTTTTATTTGACAGAAAAAGTTGCTCTTGCTGTACAGATTTTAAAAAACCAAAATGCCTTTAAGAAACGTGAAAAGTTGGGGGGAGGGGTACACAACCTCATGGGGGGCAGTAGGGACCAACTAATTCCAACTCCTGCCCCTTCCTTCCAAGAACACCTTACACAACCTCCAGTCCCAACCACCATCACAGTCACCCCCTGGGAACTTTTGGATACAACTGGGGCCATGCCTCCCTGGCCCTGACTCCAGGCTGGGGTGTCCTGAACTGTATCCTCCCCTCCCCCAACTCCCATCTGCATTCCCTCCCACCCCAAACCCCCCAGAACACGTGAACCAGGAAGAACTCACGGAGATTAACATTTCACAGGAACAAAGAAAAAAAAAGGGAGGGAAAGGGAGCCCTTCATCCAAGGGCTGCTAAGGTTCAAAGGAGAGCAGACAAGGACCCTCCCACGGCTCTGCTGGGGAAGAAGGGACACTCCCTGTGGCTCCAGAGCATGGGGTGTGGTGGAATCCCCCAAAGACAATTTATGGAGACCTGCAACAGAAGATACGGGTCAACAGGGAGTTCTGACCCTAGTCCTCAAGGCCAGCTTCTGGGCCACTCCCAAAATGGGGCTGCCACCCACCACCACCACAACTGGCTCCCAGAAGGCGGCCTCAGCCTTCCAGGAGGATGCGCACCTGGAGGAGCGGTGTCTCATGGGCCGAGGGCTAGGTGTCTCCCTCCTGCGCTTGTGGCTGGGGGATCGGCTGTCCCCACGCTGGCCTCTCCGGGAACCCCGCTCACTGCTGCTGCTGCAACACAGGACAGACATCAGGCCACAGAGTGGCACCACCTCAGGCACCACAGATCCACAAAGTTTTCTTGGTAGAAAGCAGTGGCAGCCAGACAGGGCTGGGTGCTGACACCTGCAGCTAGCCTTACCTCTGCTGGTCCCGTGGCGAAGGCTGGGGCGAGGGACGGCGACGCTCCACAGGCGAGTAGCTGAGGGACCGAGAGTCCCTAAGGGAGTCTATTGGCTTCCGGGGACTGCGGGACCTGGGGAACACAGTAGGATCCAATAGCACCACGCCCTTTCAAGCACAGCGGCCAGCACTCAGGACCACCCACCCAGGTCCTGACCACCAAACCTCACACCACACAGGGCCAGCCTCAGACCCACCTTTGTCCGCTCACTCACCCATCCGCCCGCACACCATCCACCGAGTGCCCAGTGGGCAGGCACAGGGTGCAGCGGGGGATGCAAAGATAAAAGACATTCCCTGCCCTTGAAGGAGCTCAGTGGTGAAGGAAGGCACGCACGGCCCCGTGTGTGGGAAGCAGGGCTGGATGTGCGTGGCTCTGGGGACCCAAGGAAGGGGGACATGGGGCAGGGCAGGGAAGGGGCAGGGCAGTCTTCTCGAAGGTGCTGTTTGAGCGGAGTCTTGCAGAACGAGGAGTTCACCAGGCGGACAAGGAAATTCCAGGCAGAAGGAACAGCATGTCCAAAGGCATGGGCTCTCCTTAAACTGCAAGGCGCTGGGTGTGGCTGGAGCACAGGGCATGTGTGGGGGCGGGCAGGAGGAGAACACAGGGCGGGCAAGGCCCGTTGGTGAAGAGCCTCACACGCCACTCCCGCAGAGGTGGGGCTTTGTCCTGCAGGCCACAGGGCGTCCCGAAGGATTTGTGGAGTGGAGGGAAGTAGCCAGATGTGCGTTTTAGAAAGGTCCCTCTGGCTACATGTGGAAGAGAATGGCGTGGAGGCGGGGAGACAGGGAGGAGGCTGTGGACAGAGTCGGGAGAAGATGATGGTGGCCAGACCAGAGCCCTGGCAGTAGCAACAGGGAGACAAAGCTAGAACCCTGGGACCAGGCTATGTGTTGAGGGAGGGAGAGGAAGAAACCAAGGACCCCCCAGTCCTGGCCTGAGCGCCCCTGTGGATGGCGCAGCCCTTCGCCAGAACAAGGTGCAACGAGCGGGGGAGAGAACAAGCGCCTCTTCCCCCACAACCAGATGCCCAAGGTCACGTGAGACACCCAGCCGGGAGCTCACACCCCAGGGCCCTGTCTCTGGATAAGTCACTCCCCCACCCTCCTTCCATCTCAGGCAAGGCAGCACTCACCTCCGCTCGCCAGGGGGTGGCTTCTTGGGGCTTGCAGGTTTGGGCAAGGCCTGAGGGCCAGGCTTAGCAGGGGAAGGCGAAGAAGAGGAGGAGGAGGAGGAAGAGGAGGAGGAAGAAGAAGAGGAGGAAGAAGAGGAGGAAGAAGAGGAGGAGGAGGAGGAGGAGGAAGATGAAGAGGAGGAGCTGGAACTGGAACTGCTAGAGCGCCTCTTCCGTTTGGCTGGGGTTGGCTCCGGAGGACGTCCCTCTCTAACAGCCTCCTTTGGGGCTGGGGTGGGGCTGGGGACCCTGTGGGAGGAGAGGAGTGTCACAAGGAGACAAGCTGCCCCAGCCCCAACCCTACCTTCCTTGGCCTGGAGGAACGGCAGTGGGGGGAGGGGTGCCTGAGAAAGGCGCTGGGAGCTCTCCTAGCCCTGTAAGCCAGCAATTCTCTGGAGAGCAGTGGTGCGAGCTGACCCAACCTCTGCTAACAGAAGCAACAGGCTGGGGCCCGCAGCATAAGGGATCAAGGTTAAACCTCAAGAATGTCCCTGATGGAGGAATAAGGCCTCTGGGCTCAGGTGTGGAAGCTGAAGCTGGGTAGTCTCCTTCCTCGGAGAGCCGCAGCTTGGGGAGGCCCCTGTGAGTGCAGGTTGGCTGGGGAAGGGGCCGTCCTGCCTGGAGGCAGGGAGAGGGATGGGATGACCTCTGAAGATCCTTCCAGCCCAGGGAGTTCCTCTTGAGGTCTAACTGCCATCCCTCCTGCTGTAAAATTAAGTCCATTTCCTCTAGTTCTGTCCTCTGTAGAGACGGAAAACTTATCATTATCCTCTAGAGAATGAACCTTCGGAGACTTTTATCTGCCCCACTCCTCCTCCCTCCGCCCCCGCCCCAGCATTCTCTTCTACCCCCAGCCTGAGGGTCAAGGTCCCCATACCTCCTCCAAGAGTCAAGCACCTGTGACATGGTTTCTCCCTCCCCACTCCCAACCCATCCCCAATACCTCCCCACTGAAGGATGCTAAAGTCAAGCTCCCTCACCTCTTTAGTGCCACCTCAGGTTGCACAGGAAGGCTAGAGCCCTCCGAGTCGCTAGAACTGGAGCCAGAGGAGGAAGACGACGACGACGACGACGATGATGAGGAAGAAGAGCTAGAGGACGACGAGGAGGAGGAGGAACTCCGCCGCTCCTTTGCTGGCTGCAGGGCGGCTAATGCAGAAGGCTGCTGGGCCCCAGTAGAGGCAGGTGGCTCCCCCACATCAGAGTGGGGCACCCCAGGGGCAGGGACAGAGAGCATGCCATTGTGGTCACCAGCAGAGGACGTGGTCGTTGCCACCGCCCCAGAGGAAAGGGACTGAGACCCTGCTACGGGGGTGGTCTGGGCAATCAAAGAACGGGACTGGTCTGAAAAAGCAGAAGGCACAGGAGACCTCGGCTGATCCTGTGCTGGAGGGAGAAGAGACTGTGAAGGAGCCTGGCCCATTCTAGAGGAAGGGGAGGGAGCCCGTTCAGAGGTCATTCTAGACTGGCTTGGGGCAGACGGTGGTGTTCTGGACCTGGCTCGGTCAAGGAGCGGTGGTGAGGTTCTGCCACTGACACGCTCGTAGGCAGAAAGGGGCACCCTGGGGCTGGTGAGGTTTGCACCAGACAATGTTGGAGCCATCCTAGCACTGGTGAGGCTCGCGGGGGCCAAGGCTGCAGTGGTTCTGGAGCCGGCAATATTCACAGGAGCTGTGGCATGTGCAGACCGAGGACCCACCAGGTTTGCAGAGGCTGGAGCCTGTGGTGTTCTGGAGCTGGAGGGATAGTTTGCAGCAGTTGGTGGGGTGCCAGAGCCTGTGAGACTCAGAGCTGCCAAGGCAGCTGGGGTTCTGGCCCCTGCTAGGTTCACAGCTGGGGCTGTGGGAGTGCGAGGGTCAGCCAGGTTCACAGCCGAAGGTGCCACCGCCGTTCTGGGGCTGGCCAAGTTCATGGCCGCTGCTGCAGCTGGCGTTCGAGTGTCAGCCAGGTTCACTGCTGTTGGGATGGCAGGTGTCCTGGCGCTGGCTAGGTTCATGGCTGCCGCAGAGGCTGCAGGAATCCTGCTGGCAAGGTTGGCTGCTGGAGCGGTTCTGAGACTCATGAGAGGCACCGGGGCTGGAACCTGGGACATTCTTGCAGCAAGGCCAGCAGCAGACATGGACGGAGGAGGCCGAGCAGTGCCAAGACTGATAGCGGTCAGGGCAAGTGCAATCCTGGACTGAGCATGATTTTCTGGCACAGATGTTCTCTGGTGGTCAGGTATTCGGGGACCTGGACCATCCATCATGGAGCCACCGGCTTGCTGCAGGACAGACATGGGTGTTCTAGAGCTGCCAAGGGGTTCAAGCATTCCAGGTGATCTGCAGCGGTCAAGAGGTGTTGGGGACATGCTAGGACGACTAAAGCAGCTCATTCTGGAGCTGTTGAGTGCTACTGGAGGTGTCCGCGAACCAGAATGATTTCTTGTTGCTGGAGGAGTAGCAGATCGTGAACGATCAGAACTACTTCCAGATGCTGAACGCCTGCGGATGGCTGGAGGAGATCTTGTTAAGGACCGTTTGCCCCGAGCTGCTCGTGGAGTACGGGATCTGGAGCGGCGGCGGATAGCAAGTGGTGAGCGACTTCGAGAACGTTTGCGTGGCAACAGTGGCGTTCGAGACCTAGAGCGGCGCCGAATAGCTGGAGGTGTCCGGGACCTAGAGCGGCGGCGTGTCACTGGTGAGGTTCGAGAGCGGGACCTTCTTCGAGTTACTGGAGATGTGCGAGATCGAGACCTCCTTCGGGTGACCGGCGATGTTCTGGATCTTGATCTTCTGCGAGTGATAGGTGAAGTTCTGCTTCGAGATCGCCTCCTGGTTACTGGTGGAGTCCTAGATCTGGACCTTCTGCGTGTCACTGGTGGAGTTCTAGAACGGGAGCGCCGGCGTGTTGTTGGTGTTCTGGACCTTGAACGACGACGGGTTACTGGTGGTGTTCTGGATCTGGATCGCCTTCTGCTCACTGGGGATGCTCTTGACCGGGATCTTCGTCGAGTCACTGAAGTCCTGGACCTTGACCGTCTCCGGCTGACTGGTGAAGTTCGAGACCTGGACCTACGTCGGCTTATCAGGGGGGTTCTGGACCTGGATCGCCGGTGAGTGGCTGGAGAGGCTCGAGATCTAGAGCGTTTCCATGGGGCTGGTGATGTCCGTGAGCGAGAACGCTTCCGACTGGTTGGGGGTGTCCGAGAGCGGCCTCTTCGGCGTCGAGAGGAGGTCCGGGAACTTTCCTGCCGGGCAGGGGACCTTGAGTGATAACCAGAGCCTCCCCTCCGTCGCCGAGTAACCCGTGACCTTGACCGGCTCCGCTGTCTTCGCCGAGAGGTTGACTGAGAAGATCCAGACCTATCTCGACGTCGGGTTGTTCTGGTTTTCTCTCTCCTTGAGCGGGAACGGGACCTCTGTAGTCCACGAGGCTTTGGTGAAGGAGAGCGGCCTCTCCTTGAGGTTGTCTTAGCGCGTGGAGATGAAGCTGAGCGCCGTCGGCGTGAAGACCTTGACTTTTCGACTGGCTCCGGGGAAGACACTGAAGGACTTCTCCGGCGCCTTGGGGGAGTTCTAGAGCGAGTTTCTGGTGAGGATGAGGCAGAACGGCTTCTACGGGAGAGTCTGGCCTTCCTCGTTAGCTCAGGAGATGATCGAGAGCTGCGACGTCGAGGTGGTGTACGAGACTTGGTCTTGGGCTCTGGTGATGACCTGGAACCTCTGCGAGCAGTTCTGGATTTGGGCGGATGTTCAGGAGAGGACTCGGTACTGCTGCTTCCTTCAGGAGAAGGGCCTCTACCTTTGCTTGATGAACCTGATCTGCTTCGTCTGGGAAGGGCCCGAGGGGCTGGAGCTTTAGGTTCAGGAGAGGAATCAGAAGCACTCTGTGCCCTGGGTGCTGCTCTTGGCTTATCTTTCACTTCAGGGGAGGAACCAGACCTACTGCGCCGAGGAGAAGGTCGAGATTTGCTGTCAACCTCTGGAGATGATCCAGAGCGACTCCTCTGCCGAAGTGGGGTTCGAGTCTTGGCTTTAGAATCTGGAGAAGAGTCTGACTCACTTCTTTCCTGAGGGGATGCACTGGGTTTCACATCAAGTTCTTGAGAGGATCCCGAACGACTTCTCTGCCCCAAGGGAGTCCGAGCCACAGTTTTCTGATCAACTGATGATTCTGACCCGCTTCTTTCTCTCTGGGGGGTAAGACACTTGTTGTTGAGCTCTGGGGATGATGGAGAACGACTCCTTGGCCTAGGAGTCTGAGGCAAAGCTTTCGGTTCTGGCGAAGAATCACATTCGCTTCTCCCTCTGGATGGTGTTCTAGGTATATCTTTCATTCCAGGAGAGGACCCGGACAGGCTGTGCCTCGAGGGAGTCCCAGACCCATCTCTAAGTCCTGGAGAAGACCCAGACCTGCTTCTCCTTGATGGAGTTCTGGGTAAACCATCTTTCATTTCAGGAGAAGATGCAGAACTACTTCTTTCTCTCGAGGGTGTTCTCGGTACAGCATCAAGCACAGGTGAAGAGACGCTCTGATTTGAAGACATCCCTGCCTTTTCCACTGCATCTGGGGATAACTCAGAACTGCTGCGTCTAGAGGATCTTGTCGATTGTTCTTTCATGTCTAGAGATGGATCTGTTTCCAGCTGATTAAGAAAAGGTCCATTCAAATCTTCTTTAACCTCAGAAGAAAATCCAGTATTCATTTCTGTACCAAGTGGGCCTGAGTTTCTAAATTCTAAAGATGATTCAAAGCTGTTCTCCCTGAGTGGGGAGTTAGACAGTTCCTTATGTTCTGGAGAAAAATGTGGCCCACCCCAAGATGAGGCCACTGCAGGGATTTCTACTGCTTCCAAAGAAGCCTGTGACTGGCTCTGATCAAGAGTCAAAGACACAGCAGGCCTTTCTTCTACTTCAGGAGATGATTCAAAATTACTTGCAGACATTTCTTTAAGTTCTGAAGACAAATGAGACAGGACTTGGCTTGTGGGTTCTTCAGACTTCTCTACCACCTCCATTAACTCTTCATCTTGGCTTGATGTAGGCAATGCACTATTTTGCTCTTTTGTTTCTGGAGATGACCCAGCACCACTTCTGTCCCTTGACGGGGTTCTAGGTGCGTCTTTGAACACTAGTGAAGACTCAGGTCTATCCTGTACAGGAAAGGGACTAAATTTGTCTCTTTGTCTAGGAGGTGATGCAGTAGCATCCTCCTGAGGGAGTAAGGCCATTTTCTCTTTTGATTCAGAAGTCTCCAATCTACTCTGCCCCAAGAAAGAATTCGAGTCCACTGTAGGATGTGAAGAAGAGTCAGACTGGAACCTGTTCAGCTCAGGAGACATTCCGGATTTCAATGTAGGACTCGCTGACAACTCACCTCTATCTTGTCTTATTGGAGATCTGGATGCCAGCTCAGTGATTGGAGATGAAGACCTGGACTGACCTCCCTTAGGCGATGTTTGAGATTTGCTCTGCAGAGATGGTGATTCTGAGTGACTCTGTCTCACTTCTGGACTTGAAGTATCAGATCTGTGGTCTGGTGAAGTCTGAGATTGTCCTTTCAGTTGCAGAGATGAGAGTCCAAAATAGCTCTCACCTGGTGGTGTGCTAGATTTTACTCCTGCACACAGAGAGAAGGATCCAGGGCAACTCTGAACTAGTGAGTCTTTAGACTTCTCTTGGGGACATGGCGACTTTGATCTAGATAGACTTGGCCCTGGTGGAGTTTGGGCCTTTACTTTGGGGTGTGGTGAAATAGACCCTGAGTGACTTTGTCTTGGCGGTGTTTCAGGTTTCACTTTGGTATCTGGTGAGGAGGACCTAGAATGACTGTATCTTGGCAACAATCTGGATTCCACGTTGGAGCAGGGAGATACTGATCTGCTTCGCCGTGGAGTTGTTCTCGATGTCACCCTACTAGGACTTGGAGAAGAGGAGCCAGAATGGCTTCTTTGCCTTGGTGATATTACTGCCTTCACTTTGGGTTGTGGAGATGATGACCTAGATGGGCTTTGTCTGGGAGGTGTGCTAGATTTCACTCTAGGAGGAGAGGACCCTGAGCAACTATGTCTCGAAGGGGTCCTAGATTTCAACTCAGGGTCAGGTGATGATTCAAAACAGCTCCGTCTTTGTGGCGTTACAGATTGCTCATTGGCCTGGGGACTTGTTATGGACCCTTGCCTTGGTGGTGTTCCAGATTTCACTTTAGAATGAGGAGACGAACTAGAATGACTTCGTCTTGATGGTGTTTTAGATTTCTGTTTAGGTGGCGGAGAAGAACTGGAGCGACTGCGTCTAGGTGGCGTTCTAGATTTAGCTTTAGGTTGGGAGGATCCAGAGCGACTGCGCCTGGGTGGCGTCTGTGACTTTTGTTTAGGGCATGGGGAAGACCCTGAAAGGCTGCGCCTCAAAGACAAGCGAGATTTTGCTTTGGACCGTGGTGAAGACAGAGATCTGCTCCGCCTTGAAGAAATGCGTGATTTCTTCATTTCTGGGCTTGAATTGGACCTGCTTCTTCTCTGAGATGTTCTGGATTTGTTCTTCCGGTCTGAAGATGAGCCAGACCTGCCTCTTCTTTGAGGTGATCTAGAGTGAGATCTTCCACGTCTAACTAAGCTTCTACTGCGGGATCTTCCTCGTCTTGGTGTCCTAGATCGAGACCTCCCTCTCCTGGCTGGTGTTCTGGAGCGTGAGCGACCACTGCGTCTAGCTGGGGTTCTAGAGCGTGAGCGGCCACGTCTGGCTGGGGTTCTGGAGCGTGAGCGGCCACGTCTAGCTGGGGTTCTAGAGCGTGACCTGCCACTTCTCCTGGCTGGTGATCTACTACGAGACCTCCGTCGTACTGGCGATCGGGTCCTAGATCTGCGCCTAGCAGGTGTTCTAGACCGAGACCTGCCCCTCCGGGCTGGTGTTCTAGACCGAGACCTACGCCTGGTGGGTGTTCTGGATCGTGATCTCCGCCTGGCAGGTGTTCTAGAGCGTGACCTGCCCCGCCGGGCTGGTGTTCTAGAACGAGATCTGCCCCGAGTGGCTGGGGACCTAGAGTGGGACCTCCCTCGCCTTGCTGACCTAGACCTGCCTCTTCTCTGGGTATTTCTGCTCCTAGACCAGCCTGGTCGCTGAGGAGACCTAGAGCGGCCGCGTCGCTGGGGGCTTCTAGATCTTCCCCACCTCTGTGCAGACCTGGACCTACGCCACTGGGGAGATCGGGATCGAGAATGACCTCTCTTTGTAGGGGTTCGAGACCGAGATCGCCCCCTCTTAGCGGTGGCAGGGCTACGGGACCTCCCCGTCCTACGGGAAGGGGTATGAGAATGTGATTTATCCCGTTTTGCTCGGCCATGTGAGCGATTCTTGGACGTGGGAGAAGAAGAAATCTCTCGGTGGGACCCCGGAGCTGGAGCAGGTTTAGGACTTTCTGGGGAAGAGCTGGCATGCCGAGAAACTTTGGTAGGTTGAGGGGATGGTGGGCTGCTCTCTGAGGAAGAAGACTGGGGAAGTTTCTCAGGAGACTTAGGTGGTGAACGGCCCCGAGTGGGAGAGGCCTCAGATGGGGGGTTCACTGGCTCCTGGCTTAAGGGGGTTGTTGCAAGTGGTTGTGGGGAGCCGCCATGTCGCTCAGCAAGGAGCGGAGTGGGAGCAGGTGGTTCTGGGCCTGTGCTGCTCCTTTCCGGAGAGGGGCTAGGTCGAGCTGCAGATTTCTAAGAGTGAAAGAGAGAGTAGGGATAGGGATTCATAAACGCCAAGACTTCACATCACTCCTAAGATCCCAACACCCTTTCCAATAACTTTTCTTTTACACATCCCCTGACCACAAGCAATCACTTTCATTCAATAACAAGGAATTATATAAAGAACAGTGGGGAAAACATATGAAGATATGGATAGTCTGAAAATCTTAAAACTGAAAGGAACAACGCAAATAACTAACACACTACCACATTTAACAACAAATACCACTACAAAATGTTATCAAAGCAGAAAAAACTATCTTTAAATGGAAAAATAAGCAGTTTCCTAAAGCGAATGGCAACTTCACCTTTTAAGAATAACTCTATTAAAGGAAAAGAAACAACATGAATAAAGATGTGAGAACATGATTTGTTTGAAGAGTAAAAAAGCAGACCAGGATGGGAAGAGTACAGGAAATGAGAAAAAGACCGAATTATTAAAAGCTTTAAATGTAATTCAAAAGCAATAATGAAGCAGTTAAGTTTCTGAGGTCAACCAACTTGTAATTTGGAAAGGTAATCCTGGATGACATGGAAAATTGATGACAAAGGCCAAGAATTTACACTGTAATCACTAAAGCAAGAGGAAATGATTAACGCTTAAAATTAGAAAAGAAAACTACTGAAGACTATTCCAGTGTTTCATTCAAACTATTGGTGGCAACCCAATGGATTAAACAGTTTTAGTGAGACACAACAAACATTTAATGAAAAAAGAAAAGAAACTAGAGGCATTACACGGCGTACACAGATAAAATACAACTTTTGTTCCAGTTCTGTGTATAAACAAGATACAATATAAAACCTATTAGTATCCAGTGAGATTTGATTCTAAAGAGTTCACAATTCAGTCTAGTAACAATACTACAAGCTCTGCAGATACAGTAAGAAAACTGGGAGATCAATGCAGAAAAAAATAACCGAATTTATTTTAGTAAGTTACTACCTCTCCCTTTCATGTCACAAGTTTATCCTAAATCTATATACTTGCAATCCAATGATCATCACCAACTCAGGAACATACCTCCTTCTTGTCTTTATCTTTGTCTTCATAAGGGCTGCTAGGCTGTTTTGTAGCAGGCTCCGGGCTACTAGGTCGTTGTGTGTTGGTAGTACCTGGTTCACTAAAAGGTGCATCTCCCTCCCCTCGTCGCCCTGAAGCAGGGGAAGGACTTCGCCCAGTCAAGGCAATTGTATGAGTTTTAGCTGCAGCACTTCGAGACCTGCAGGAGTTAATTGAGGATGGGGGAGAGGAAGGAAATCAGCTCAAAGGGAGAACAGGAAACCCCCTCCCCAACTCCCATCCACCTTTTCCAACTGTACAACCCTCTTCCAAAAAGCCTGCTTAGTCGCATAACTCAAATCATTCACTGAAATGCAAGTACAGTCCACTTTGGTTCTTCTCTTCCCAACACAATCCCAAAGAGTGTTCTCCCTCTACCCCTTCACTCACCTCCCCCAAACATCCCCAAACCATCCACCCAGCCCACTCCCTACCCGCTTCATTCACAACTCACCTCTGAGCCCACCTCCTTCAGGAAGCCTTCCCCGATTAAGGAAGCCAGGGTAAGGATTCCTTCCTCCCCCAGACACCACGAACAAACCACCACCCCCCCTATTCTGGCAGTCCATATACATCAGAACGAAACAAAAAATAACAAATAAACAAAAACAAAAAAAAAAAGAGAAGGGGAAATGTATATGTCTGTCCATCCTGTTGCTTTAGCCTGTCAGCTCCTAGAGGGCAGGGACCGTGTCTTCCGAATGGTCTGTGCAGCGCCTAGCACACCGTGGGCGCTCAATAAATATTAAATTAATTAACCCATCATTCCCTCTCCCTCCCTTCCTCCTGGACTACCCCTTACCGACTGCGGGAAGTATCAGAGGAGGAAGCCGAGTCAGCAGAAGTTGAACGGTGGGCCCGGCGGCTCTTGGGGGCTGGTGTTGTACTTCGAGACCTGAAGGAAGACCACCGCCACAGCTCAGGGTACTGCTGTACCTGCCCTGGATTTTCCTCACCTATCCCTCAACCTTTTACCAGTTAGGGACATAACTGACTCAACCCCTTCCCACTAAGGTGGCGTTCACTTACTTTCTAAGCAAATTCCCCACAAATTCACTCACCGCTTTCGTTTTTTGTCCTTAGATTTACGTTTGCTCTTTGGAGTGGGAGACCTGAGAAATAAGGAAAGGTTGTTAAAAGTAACTTTTTTAAAAAAGCAAATAAAACCAAAAGTGAAATGGAAAGAGTTAGGGAATGTTAACAGGAGAAAGATCAAGGTATTGAGCTTCACTTCAAGAAAAAGAAATCACCACTCTACATGCCACTGTGCCCCCAATGAGTTAAAGATCTCTTACCTATGCTTACGCTTCTTGGACTCGGATTCTGACCTGTCGGAAAAAAGAGAAGAAAACACATAAAAAACACCTCTGCCTGAATTCAGCAAGCCTTCTCCAATCACTCAAGTACTCACACCTCGTACCTGTGCTTCTTCTTCTTTGAGCTTTTCTTTCTCTCCCGTCGAGGAGAGCTGCTCTCTGACCTGCTAAAGATGGATTCAGAAGCAAGATCATTCTGTTTGGCTTCTTTCCTGGCCCTCCCACTTACAATCTCTCCCCTAAAAAGGTTTCTAAAACACTTGAACATCCTAATAGCACTAATGCCCCAGACCTAAGCCCAGGACTTCTTTCTTCCTTCTCCAACAAGTAACTCCTTAAGTCAACAAACCTCAAAACGAAAAAGGAAATTCCAGAATCCAAAATGTTGCTGGCTGATCTTAATTGGCAACACTGCAAACTCAACACGTCCCCACTGCAAAACTCATTTCTTCAAGGTGAGGCCTCAATGGTAACTCCCTGCTCCCTGACAACTATCTCCTGCTTTGTGGAAGCCAGAACTGTCCACTTCCAGAGAGAGTGTACACCACAGGACTGGTCCTCTGGCTAGCAAAGTAACTTTCCAACTAACTTACCGTCCTCTATCTTTCTTCTTTTTCTTCTTCTTCTGCTTTGGGGTTGGTGAGCGAGAACTGCTAGACTCCCGAACAAGGCTGGGGAAAGATGAAAAGCAGCAGAGATGAGCACTAGGACAAACGTTCCTTTCTTTTCTTTAAAAGACAGTCTCAAAAAAATATTTAAAAAAATTTTACAAATAGTCTCACCCTGTTGCCTCAGCTGGGGTGCAGTGGCAGCATCATAGCTCACACTGTAACCTCCAACTCATGGGCTCAAGAGACCCTCCTGCCTCCACCTCTCCAAGTAGCTTGGACTACAGACACGTGCCACCACCCAGCTTTTTTTCTTTTTGTAGAAATGGGGTCTCACTATATCGCCCAGGCTGGTCTCAAACTCCTGGCCTCAAGTCATCTCCTGCCTGAGCTTCCCAAAATGCTGGAATTACAGGTGTGACCCACTGTGGCTAGCCCTTGGACAAATTTTCTTGGACACCTCAACTTCAGAAAAACAAAATCTGAAGAGTTTGGGAAGAAATCAGTCCACAAAAGGAAAAAAATAGAGCAAGGATCTTACAATCAAGAAAAGAAGCTGACAGTGGTTTCTTGGCCTTGTATACCTGTAAGGTTTGGGAGGCTCAGGAGCCGGTTGTTTAGCTTCTCGGGCACGACGCTGAGGATCAAAAGAGCTGCCATCTACGTAAGAATCACTGATGCCAAAGGCAGCACGGAGTCTTTCATTCTTCTTCTCATTCAATTCTGCCAACTGGTGAGTCTCCGTGACCCTAGAGAAAAGAAGGGCAAAAGTCTGAAGGAAATATAAAGGACAGAGCCATATTCAGGACACAAGTATAAGCAGGAGCCAAATAAGACATGGAAAAGGCAGACGAAAGCAGGAAGTCCCACGTAAGGAAAAGGACGGGAGCGGCAGCCAGCAGCCAGAGTAGAGTCCAGAGTCATCGAGGGAGAGTGCAACACTCACGCTGGCCTCTGCCCTGGGGTCTCCTCCTTGCCCCCAGGGTTCACATCCTTCTCCAGCAACATGAGTCGAAAGGTCGCCACTTTCTCCTGAATTTGCTGTTCCTCGTACCTGAAGAACAAATTCCTTCAGGGTTAAGCTTGACAGGACACTTTCCCCAGTCCCAGGTTTCCATTTCCCTCATTCCCAAAAGGGGCCCTTCCCTCTCCATGCACACACAGAAGTTTTCACTCGCTGTCACCCAAAAGTTCCTTCTCTTCAGTCTAATCTTTTCCCATTATCTTTCTTCCCTCTACTTACTACTCCCGCTAGAACAGTGGATTTTAAATATGCTACACTTCAGGGGCCAAAAGAAAAAAATTAAGCAAGCAGGGTTTCAAGTGCTCCTCCCCAACTTCAACAAGAACGTGCCTTTTATTTCCTGGGATTCCAAAGTGAGGGATACTGTATAAAAGGGTCACCACTGCTGAAGTTTAAAACCACTGCTCTAAAAGAGTTTTCTGCCTTAATGTGCTCCTTTTCCAAAATTTCCCTTCCCAGCCCATGATTCCCTCTTCTTCAAATGTTCTTCTAATTCCTCTTTTCCTGCCCATGCTACTTTCCAAGGTCTCAATCCTTATATCCATTCTTCTTCTTTTCTACCAATGACAACACCTATCAGCTTACCTAGCTCCTCTATCTGGTCTCTGCTTTCCCATCTCTCCCCTGAAACACATTTTTGTTCCTCAACGGCCCCTCCCTTCTCCCATGTGCCTCCATTTAATCCCTCAGGCTCCCATCTATGCTTCAGACACACAGCCTTCTCATTTCCCACTCTGCACTGTCCCTTAACTGTTTTCAATTCTCTAGAGCTCATTTGCCTCCTCCCCTACCACAACTCCTTGCCAGGCCTCTTTCAACCACCCTAAGCTCCCTACATCCCACCTAACACGCCCAGCTCTGCACTCATTCAGTGCTTGACTCTCCCCCAGCTCTCCCTCACCCCTGCTCTTCCATCATCTCCTCCAGCTCGAGGCATCGCAGCTCGACGCGCCGCTTGCGCTCGTGGTCCAGGATGTCAGGATTAGGCCGCTTCACCAGGGCAGCCTCCAGGCGCCGCAGTTCCTCCTCTCCCTTGTAGTCAGGCCGCTCACCCCGGCGGCCCCGCACCAGGGACAGGTTGCGCTGGACGTAGCCGTTGGTGCCGCTGCCCCGGGGCGTCGGCAGCCCGATCCCGTTGTACATGGCCCCGTGCCCGGGGGGGGCACCACCGCTCCTGAGGGGGAGCGGGGAGACACGGGTCAGGCCCCTGGCCCCAAACTAACCACTTACCACCCCACACCCAAGTCCCTGCTCTCCTTCATCCCTATTTCAATATTTATCTTCACACTAAGTCTTCGCTATATAATGCTCCACCATCCTCCTGGTCTGCCAAAAAAACCACTTCTTCGTCCTTCCAAATTTCCTTTCTACCAAATCACAGCCCAGTTCTTACAACCTTTCTCTCAACGCCCTTGCACAGAATTCTAAATAATCCCTCCCTGCACCTAGATTTTCTTCTTTTTCCACCCTAGGCAAACAAGGACCTTGTTCCTCTAAAATCTCTCCACACTGTCCCTTTTCATTTTCCTTTGGCCCCAAAATGCACAAGTGGCGTCTTACCAACTACTCTACTTTCTAACCTCTAGTAACCAACGAAGGCCTCCTGGGCACAACAAATACCAGACATAGATCTGTGGCACCCAAGGGCCTCTAGTCCATTTCCAAAGACTCTCCCAAAAACTGACCTACGGATTTCAGACCACCCTATATGAATACGAAATAAACTACACAGCCCCTAGGTATCTCAACAGCAGACTAGTTGGTTCAGAATGTGCAGCCTCACACCCCAACTAAAGGTCAGCACGCACATTAGAAACACACATGAACCTTGGATAATCTTCATACACTTCACCTCCCAGGTAAGGGCCATTTCCTTGATTCCAAATATTTAAAGATCCTATCAACCATCCTGATCTTTTATTCCTCCAATTTCTTTCCTCTCAATAGGATTTACCACAATTTGCAGTTCCTCCAAGTCTTGCCAGCTGTCAAATATTATCTGCTTTCAACTCTGCTCTATTTAAACACATCAAATCAGTCTCTGTTCCAACCGTTCCCATACCTTCTCCATATTCCTTGCTCTAAATCTATCTAGAAACCCTCTCTACACCCCACTTTCATTAATGTCCAACTGTTGGCCTTCCCCACCAATCCCCTGGACAGCACTTCCTAGTTTTTTTTCTCCCAGCCCTGCCGCTTCCTTCTTTCCTGTGTTAACCCCATGCCTCGTCCCAAGTTCTAGCCTTTCAACTAGTCCCAACCCTGATGTGACTCTGAAAAATTCTCAAGTCCCAGCTTTTCTAGTGAGATTCCTTGGCTACACATACTCTCTTTCTCAACCTCATCCTCTCCAAGATAGTTTCCTAGAACATACACGTATGAGGAAAAACTACCCAGAAAAAACCCTACGGAATAGACAAAGTGGAGAGAGTGATCAAAGACGTAAAAGAACTGGATAAAAGGGAAGGATGCATTTAGAAAATTCCAGAATGAAAAAGCATCATACAAATGTTTGGAAAAATATACTAGTGCATGCACGCACACAGAGTATATAGAAGGGTGCTAGCCCATACCTCCTCACCCTAGACTAAGGGGGTCCCTACCCAATCCCAGTAGCAGACCCAATATCGAAAGTAGAAGGTGACAGAGGAAGCTAAACCTGGAAAAGGCAAGCAAAAATCCAGGAAAAAATGAAAAACATTATGACTCAAAAAATCAATTTCTCTACACCCCAATCCTCATTTTCATCTTCTAGTTCCAATCCTCCCCACAGTTTAAAACTAGGTCCTTCTTTGCCTCTCCCTATCCCACCAAATTTCTGCTTCCCTTGCAGCATGTCTTTGACCTGCAATTAATTCTTCAGCTCAACCATTCACCCACACTTCCATACCACCTCACACAAAAATCCTCCCACTCCCTAAGAAAGGAAAACCGAAGGGAAACCCAGGCCGGGTAAGGTGGCTCACGCCTGTAATGCCAGCACTTTGGGAGGCCGAGGTGGGCAGATTACCAAGTCAGGAGATTGACACCAGCCTGGACAACATGGTGAAACCCAGTCTCTATTAAAAATACAAAAATTAGCTGGGGGGCGGCGCGTGCCTGTAATCCCAGCCACTCCGTAGGCTGAGGCAGAAGAATCGCTTGAACCCGGGAGGCAGAAGGTTGCAGTGAGCTGAGATCGCGCCACTGCACTCCAGACTGGCAACAGAGCTAGACTCCGTCTCAAAAAAAAAAAAAAAAAAAAAGAAAGAAAGAAAGAAAGAAAAAGAAGGAAAACCAGTAGGTGCTAAGCAAAGGATATTAGATCACAATGTTTCGGAGAACTTCTAGGGAATGAGCCACCCCTACCTCACAAAAAAAGACGACGACCCCATAGCATCTAAGTGGGTGCTAAGACACGGAAAGTAGGAACATCGACACCACACACAAATCACCAAACCAAACGATTTTATAAAACTCTTAAAAGTGGGGGCCATAGACAGCGGATATGCAAAAGTTACCCAAGGTAAAAGCAGAAAATAAAAGGTACAAAGGAAGACAAAAAGACCCTTTTCTGTTGGGAAACTATCAGAGTGCCAAGCTAACAAGGAAGTAGAAAGATATCCTTAAATTCAACATTAAAATATGCAAAAAAGGAAACGGTACCAAAAGGGGACACAAAGGTTGTCCAAGAAAATGGACCTCAGGAAGCACAGCCAGCTCAGCACCGGGGCGCTCCAGCGCGGCTGAGCGGACACAAAGAACCCAGAAAGCTAAAATAGTAGCTTTAGAAGAGCCCTAAGCCCACGCACTTACAATGAAAGGCAACAAAACATTCTGAAATTTTGATCTAGATTCGTCCTAACTGAAGGCGAGTGGAAACCAAGCTTCAGAAGAGCTGTGTGCCAAATAACGCCTGAAACCAACCAGAAAACTTATATACGAGTCTGGCGTTTTCTTCCCAACGAAGGTCTCCAAAAGCCTCCTTAGTTTTAACACGAATTCTCGGGAAACGTTAAAAAAGTGTAAGAAAAAAAGGAATAGTCTACCTTACAAATGTAAACTGAATGCCTTCACTTTCTTCACAATTTTTAAGATCTGGGGTTTCTCCCCGCCACTAACAACTCAAAGGCTTGATAGCAGAGTCCAAACCATTTAAACCGGGCCTACGGAGTTCAAGGCCCTCCCCGCAGCGCCGGGGGCCTATTTTCGGCCTTGCGGAATGGGGGAGGGGGCTGCGCGGCGTCCCGCAGCCTGGGAGGCCCCTGGCACGGGCAGCCCAACGCTGAAGAGAAGCCCGAGAACAAGAGATAGAGAGCCTGGGGCAAGGGTCCGGGAGCACGTCCCCCGCCGCCGCCCCTTCCCCGCCACTTAAGGGCCGAAAGCGGCAGCTGCGGGAAGGCCACCTCGGCCGCACGTGTGGTGGGGAGGAGTGAAGCCGAGGCGGCGCGCTCCCCCTCGCCAAGGGCGCTCGCGAACCCCAGTACAGGCGGCTGCGAGCGCCGTTGTCATGGGGGAGGGACGGGGGGGTCGAAGCCCGCGCGCGACACGAACGGCGGGAAGGGGGAAGGGAGGCGAAGGTGTCCGCGCCAGCGAAGGGCGGCGAGCGCGCGTGCGCGCGGAAGAGCTCGGCGGCCTGGGCCGTTCTCCGCGCGCTTTGGCCTCGCGCCGAGGCCGCCGCCCCTCCCCCACCCGGCTCGCTGGCTCCCTCACCCTCTCACCCGCCGCCTCCGCCCGCCGCCTCCGAGGGGGAGAGGTCTTGCCGCCGCCGCTGCGCGAGCTCCCGAGTCCCTCGGGGCCTGAGGCCGCCGCCTCGCCTCGCCGGTTCGCCCGCCTCAGCCGACGCCGACGCCTCCTGGCTTCCTCAGGGGCCGCAGCGGGCTCCGACTGCGCCACTCGCACCCCGCCTGGGCCGCGCTGCACGTCAGCACGACTAACTCCGTGCGTCAGCACGCAAACGCGCGTCGCGGGGCTTGCCGGGAACTGGAGTGCGTCCCGCAGCCTTTTGCGCAGGCGCCGAAACCACAACGGGAAGTATCGTTTCTTCAGGCACAAGGCAGGTTTCACCCCGTTGCCAAAAGACTAAGCGTCCCGTTGGCCAGTGCAACGAAGAATGGAGGAAGCGACCTAAGACGCCGCGTATTCGGAGGCCTTCCGCTGCAGGGAGGAGCCACAGGGCCTAGCGCCACCTAAGCGGGGCCCGAGCGCGTCTCGCCTCCCGCCGTCGAGGCAGAGCATTCTGGGAGTTGTGGTTCGTACGTGTCGCGGAGCCCGGATGTAATTTCGGCTCTGGGCGCGGCGGCCATTTTGTCTCCCCATGTTGGGAGTCGATAGCCTAGGCACAGTGGTGCTGCCGCTTTTGTGTAAGTGTGGGTTTCCCGAGCGAGCCCGCGGCTGCACAGCAGTCGGCCTTCTCGTACCCGAGAGAAGCCGCCTCAGACCCCAGCCAGCGGGCACCCCCGGAGCCCCCGAGCCTGGCTGCAGGCCCTAGACTTGTACCAGGGGCCCAACCAGCTGCCTGTGGCATGGGCCACGCTCTCCCGATGTAGACTGGACTGAGGCCCGACGGCTGCCCCTGGGGGTGGAGTTCGCTTCGTTTCCGGTAGGGCAGCCAGGCCAGGGTCCCACCGGACCCGGGACGTGATACCCGTGGAGCGGCACATACAGGAACAAGTCAGGAGAAAAATAATAAGCACCTTAAAGTTTTCCACTTTTCGGTACCGTACTTCCTGTTAATGTTTCTAAACTCGTGATTCTGGACCTGATAATCAGCCCCCGTCCCTCACAGCAGAGTTGTAAGACGCTGGGCTCCTCGGGCACAAGGTCATATCTAGCCCCACCGCTGGCGAGCAGCCCAAGACGTGGGCTTAGCTGTCCTAACCAACTCAGGTGGCCTTGATCCGCAACAGGACGCGGTGCCACGTAATGAACTGTCCGTTTGAGTGCAAAGATTTATATTTGATATTACGATTTGGGCGTGATTTTAAGAGGCAGGGTCTTGCCCAGGCTGTTCTCGAATTTGGAGCTCAAGCGATCCTCCGACCTCAGCCTCTCAAGTAACTAGGACTAGCCGTGCACAACACCCTATCTGGCAATTGTTTTTTTGTTTCTTTTTTTTTTTGACGTGGTTTCACTCTTGTCACCCAGGCAGGAGTGCAACGGCGTGATCTCGGCTAAATGCAACCTTTGTCTCCCCGGTTCAAGTGATTCTCCTGCCTCAGTCTCCCGAGTAGCTGGGAATGCAGGCGTGTGACACCACGCCCGGCTAATTTTTGTAAATTTTAGTAAGGACGGGGTTTCACTATATTGGCCAGGCTTGTCTCAGTTTCCTGACCTCAGGTGATCTGCTCTCCTCAGCCTCCCAAAGTGCTGATATTACAGGCGTGAGCCACCACGCCCGGCCCACATCCGGCTTTAACTTTTGTTTTTCACTTGCCCGTGGGAGGATGTACTCATCTCAGATGCTGGAGCCGGGAGACCCTCCCCCCTCCACCCCCAGCTCCTGCAGGAGCTCTGATCGCTGGTTTGAGTGCTTGAACTCTGCATCTATGGACGGTGCTTCTGTAAGCCGGGCGCACCTTGGGAGTGGCATAGCAAAGTGGCAAAGGCTTTGCCTTTCTGGTTAAAGACCCCAGCACCTCCAATGAGACCCTTTCCTGTACCCCCACTGATATCTTTATGAACTGTTTCGTGCGTGCATCAGCACATTTAATGCCCGTGAATAGTGACAAAACATGGTTTGCAGTATCCTAATGGCTGATGATGCTGAGAATCTTTTCATGTGCTTGTTGGCCATTTGTGCATCTTTGGAGAAATTTCTCTTCGTGTCTTTTGTCTATTTTTTTTTTCTTTTTTGGGGACAGAGTCTCACTCCTAACCCGGGCTGGAGTGCAGTGGCACGATCTCCACGCACTACAATTCTTGTGCCTCAGCCTCCCAAGTAGCTGGGATTACAGGTGCACACCACCGCCCAGCTAATTTTTGTATTTTTGATAGAGGTGGGTGTAGTTTTTTGTAGAGATTGTGTCTCCCTGTGTTGCTCAGGCTGGTTTCGAACTCCTGGTCTCAAGCTATCCTCCTGCCTTACCCTCCCAAAGTGCTGGGGTTACAGGTGTGAGCCATGGCACCCAGCCCTAGAATGATTTTTTAATTTCCCTTTAAATTTTATTTGTATTATGCATTGTAGTGCAGTGGATGGTGGTGCCCCAAAACTTCACAACCACCTAGATACTCAGAAGGTGACCTTATTTGGAATAAGGGATTTTGCAAATATAGTTGAGTTAAAGATCTGAACATGAAATCATCATGAATTTAGGGTAGGTCCTAAATCCAATAAGTGACATTCTTACAAGAAGACAAGAGAACACAGGCACCCGGGGAAAGAGGCCGTAGGAGACCTAGGCAGAGATTGGAGCGGTGCCCATGCCAGGGATCTCCAGGAGGAGCCAGAAGCTGGAAGAGGCCCTGCAGATCCTCTCCCAGAGCCTTCAGAGGGGGCACAGCCCTGTCCACACCTTAGTCTCCGCCTTCTGGCCCCCAGAGCTGTGGGGGAACACACTTTTCTGGTTTGAAGCTACCAAGTTCGTGGTGACTTGTTATGGCAGCCCTAGGAAAGTGACATGCACAGGTAAACTACGTTCACTGCAGAAAACACACAGATCAGCAAAAAGAAAAAAAGCTCACAGGGGCACCACCCCCAGAGACAGCCATCGTTGACATCCTAGTGGCTGTCACCTCGGAGTAATGTTCCTGAAATGCAAACTTCTGAACTGCTTAAAACTCTTCCAGACACCTTCAGGTTGACATCACAACTCCTTTGTCGGATCTTCCAGGGCTGGTCCTTCCCGTGGCTTCTTTTCCCAACGCTCTGTGACAATCCATGACGGGCACACTTGCCTATGCTTTTTCTCCCAGGCAGTGGCTTTGTGTGGGCCTTCAGCTTCCAGTTCCATGGCCTGGTGAGGGACCCTGTGGTGCAAGCCTTTCTCCAGACCCGCCTGGCCTGGGGCCCAGGACTGGGCAGTCTTTGGTGAGTGGAGCCCCTCCCATTTGCACACTGACTTCCGGGAGCTTACATTACAAATAACTAGACAATTACCGGCCAGAACAGGTGCCAGGGAGGATGGGAACAGAGTAGAGGGGTGAGGACCATGTCTGCAAAAGCATCCTGTCCTCCAGAGGGAGTCCAGACCTTCAGGAAGAACAGTTCCCTGGGGTTAATGCCATAGCCTCCCACCTCCCAGCTGCCTGGGAGGGTTTCTCGAATTACCGTTTTATCTGGAGACCCTAGCCCCCATCCAACCCCTCCCACAGGGCTGCAAGCAGTGTCTCTGAGAGGACTTCTGGCTTCCAGGCCCAATATGTGCTCCCAGCCCTCTGGGCAGGATGGACTGAGGCTGGTCCTCAGCGCAGGCATGATGGGGTACCCGGCAAGCAGAACAAGTGCCTGGGCCCTCTCTGTGCAGTACCCAGACCCCAAAAGTACTTGGCTCTGAGCCCCTGAAACATCTGGTTCCTGTGCCCAGGACAAGCAGAGTGCTGTGAGAAATGGCCTTCCATGTGCAGCTGGCATGTCCCGTGTCCAAGCCCTGTGGGCACCACCTCCTTCAGCGGCTCTTTCTGGCCTTGGTGTAGCACACCTGGTGAGGTCGATACCGTCCAGCCACTCCTTTCTTTCCTGCGGGAGGAGGAGGGATGTTCTCTGTGATGTAAGGATTTAGACAGCGTTCAAAGCACTAATTGGGGCCAGGTGTGGTGGCTCATGCCTGTAATCCCAGCACTTTGGGATGCTTGAGGCCCGGGCAACATAGTGAGACTCTCCCCACCCCTCCAACTCTAAAAAAGCAGAGAAAAGCACTCATTTTATTTTCTTAAGATTCCTATTCTCTTCAAAGAGGTTACAGGCATAAATTTACAAAATTTCTTTGTTTTTGTTTTTGTTTTTTGAGACGGAGACTTGCTCTGTCTCCTGGGCTGGAGTGCAGTGGGACTATCTCGGCTCACTGCAAGCTCCACCCTTCCAGTTCACGCCATTCTCCTGCCTCAGCCTCCCAAGTCGCTGGGACTACAGGTGCCTGCCACCACGCCCGGCTAATTTTTTGTATTTATTTTAGTACAGACGGGGTTTCACCATGTTAGCCAGGATGGGCTCCATCTCCTCACCTCATGATCTGCCCGCCTTGGCCTCCCAGAGTGAAATTTACAAAATTTCAAAGCCTAGCACAATGGCACACCTGTGATCGCAGCTGCTTGGGAGGCTGAGGCTGGAGAATCGCTTGATTGAGGCAGTGAGTTCCAGACCAGCCTAGGCAAAATAGCAAAACCCCATCACTACGAAAAGTAAGTAAATTATGAAAATCCAACTGAATTATGACTGCCAAGCTTAGCATTTTTGTATGTAAAACTACCTCTTTAAAAAAAACACATAAAAGATGTATCAGACAAACCCATCACTTAAAAGTTATAAAGTAATGAATATATAAAGACATGTTTCCTCAACTGCCTGATGTCTCAGCCCACTCTGCAGGAGCCACTAACAGGAGCCGTAACAGGAGCCCCTCCAGTGCAGCCTCCTCAGAGTGTCCCTGCAGGACTGGAGCCACTCAGAGACGTCCGTGTTCGTGCACTATTGGCACAACTTCATCAGATTTTTAAAATGCAGGCTGGGCGCGGTGGCTCACGCCTGTAACTCCAGCACTTTGGGAGGCCGAGGCAGGCGGATCACCTAAGGTTTGGAGTTCAATACCAGCCTGACCAACATGGAGAAACCCCATCTCTACTAAAAATACAAAATTAGCAGGGCGTGGTGGCGCATGCCTGTGATCCCAGTTACTCAGGAGGCTGAGGCGGGAGAATCGCTTGAACCCAGGAGGTTGCAGTGAGTTGAGATCACGCCATTACACTTCAGTCTGGGCAACAAGAGTAAAACTCCCTGTCTAAAAAAAAAAAATTGCAGCCTGGCCAACATGGCGAAACCCCGTCTCTACTAAAAATACAAAAAGTACCCGAGCATGGTGGTATGCACCTGTAGTCCCAGCTACTTGGGAGGCTGAGGCAGGAGAATCACCTGAGCCTTGGGAGGTTGAGGCTGCAGTGAGCTGTGATCGTGCTGCTGCACTCCAGCCTGGGTGACAGAGTGAGACTCTGTCCCTGCCCCCCCAGAAAAAAAGCCTAATGCCCATCTACAGGAAATGAGTTAAATTCATTTGAAATTCATTAATTATGAAATTGGGCCCACCTGGATGATGACATGATTAACTTATGAATCACAGAATAAAGAGGAGCTCTGTGGCTGGGTGCAGTGGCTCATGCCTGTAATCCCAGCACTTTGGGAGGCCAAGGGAGGTGGATCACCTGAGGTCAGGAGTTGGAGACCAGCCTGACCAACATGGTGAAACCCCGTCTCTATTAAAAATACAAAAATTATCTGGGCATGGTGGTGAGCGCCTGTAATCCCATCTACTCTGGAGGCTGAGGCAGGAGAATCTCTTGAACCTGGGAGGTGGAGATTGCAATGAGCTGAGATCATGCCACTGCACTCCAGCCTGGGTTACAGAGTGAGACTGTGTCTCAAAAAAAAAAGGAGCTCTGCATTCTCCTGGTGCTCAAGGCACCATGTCAGGCTGCATAGTCATCAGGCTGGTAGGTGGGTGCAGAGATCGGGGGGCAGGTGGATGGCAGACACATCCAGGCAGCGCCCAGGAGCCCTGATGGCTTCCCTGCTCCATCTTGGTGACCGTAGCCGGACACCCCCCACCTCGATGCTGCACCAGGAGCCTGTGGAAACGTTTGTGACTCAGGTTTGGCTCATGGGCCAGGATACGATGCACTTCCCCTCAGTAGGGACAGCGCTCAGCACAGTGCCTGCAGCCTTCACACAGTTCAGCTTTTCTTTCTAGGAGCTAAGAAGCTGTCAGCTTAGCTCTCTGTGAGCGGGGTTTTTAAAATTCTGTTTGTCTGCAGTCAGAGCTTATGGTCCCAACACACAAGTCCGCACCTATGGGCCTCTTAAGGAGGCACAGGGCCCGTGCCTATCCCTCCAAGTGCCCTTCTGCAAGTAACAAGCACCCACAGC